TTTTGAGGACACTTTTTTAATTGGCTCAAAGAGAGAAGTGGCCCATCTTGTTATGTACTATCATTGGTTGAAGTCAGCTCGGTGAAAGTGTCGTCTCATGTGTCTGTCTGTTCCGCTGTCGGTGTTGGTTGCATTACTTGCTCCCGTCGGCGTCAGAGTATACAAAACAAAATATAGAAAAAAATTATGTATATTTTATATATACACACACACACAAATGTATGTGTTTAACCTTGCTGTCTTTAACTAGCTTAATGAGAAGATCGCATTCGTCCCCAGGTGACCCCAAGTCACGTGGTCTCATTCACGTGACAGCAGAGGTCATCAAGACCACCAGGGGGAAAGTCCAGATGCACGTGGCTGGACAGGCGTTGTCCAAAGTTGGCATCCTCAGACGGAAGGTCAGTTGGGTGGTTTAATTTTTGGAAGAGTTAAGAGTTTTACGGCACTTACTACACACGTAAAGGAAGGCAAAGGAAGAGGTGGACGACAACGGACAGGACAAGGAAATCCTTCACCCAAACTATGGCGCTCGCAAAAAACCGTGAAAAGTGGGGGCACCTGACGAGTCTTTCTGTCATACAGCATCACTACGGTTCTCGTGGATTATGAAATCATTGACAGTATTATGTAATACAAGTTTTTACATAAGCGCCAAGATTAGATGATTTTACATGAGATTAAATGAAAATGTAATTTAAAAAAGGAGGAGAGAAAAGGACGATAGTTGTTTTGATAGTGAAGAAGGAGCAAACCATACCAGACCCCCCACCAACCACCCTCTCAATGGGTGCACATAGCAGGAGAAGAAAAGCAGAAAGTGAATGGGTTTGGGCCACATAGAATACGAAGAAAGACAAAGGGTGTGTGAGTTGAGTGCACATAGAAGAAGAAGAAATGACAGAAGGTGAGTGGGTGCACAAAATTATAGTTCGCCCGTCAATGTCTGACGATGTATAACCAATGCATCTGCAGAGATGTTGGTTTTTCATTTTTCTTTTCTTTCGACATGGATTGAGGAGAAGGTAGGGTGGCATTATACTGTATGCTTTAGGTAGAACAAAAAAATGTGAAGACTAAACGGGTTTTTTTGGTGGTTTTGTTTTAGGGTGTGTTTTTTTTTTTGGGGGGGTGGGGCGTTGTTTGCTGTTTTGGGGGCTGAGGGGGGGGGGATTTTTTTGGTTCTTTTTAGTTCGTTCATGATGCTATTTGTCAAAAAGAGAGAGAGAGAGAGAGAGAGAGAGAGAGAGAGAGAGAGAGAGAGAGAGAGAGAGGGAGAGAGAGGGAGGGGGGAGAGAGTGGAGAGGCGGTGTTGGTATAGTGCTTGCATATTGTGCATATTCCTTATGTTTTATGTTCTCTACAGCCCGACGCGTTTCTGGAAATCGGACGTCAGATCAGCAGTTTGGAGTTTCAGCCTGTCTTCAGAACGGAAGTAGCTGCCAAGACAAAGCATCCTTGGTAACCCCCCCCCCCCTTTCCCACCCCTCAAATTTAAGTATTTAAGGGGCTTCTTGTTTGTTTTTCTTATTTTGTCTGTTTCTTTACTTCCTCGTTTGTTTGTATGTTTTTATTGAATTCTATTTTTTCTCTCCTTGTTTCGTTTACTTGTTTGATTCACATGGTTTATTTGTTTGTTAACAGTAAATAGCTTGCGAAAATAAAGTGTGAGCACTGTGGAAGAAGCATTGTCGAGTCGTTTCCATTTTAGACAGAGCGAGCGAGCTATTGTTAGGCTCTCTACTTACCTTCGAGAAAGCAGACAGCTTGTATACGTTCTCTTAGGTTAGAGAACGTAGACACTGCCCTGATTTCACCGTCAGACAATTATATCAATAGACTCACTGACCCCTCCCCCAGGTGGCGCCCGTTCGACTTGACCATCCAGAGAATGTGTAACGACGACTGGGACCGACCCATACAGTTCTCCTGCTGGAATGTTTCTTACGGGTGAGCTGGTTGTAGTGGGAAAGATAAGATAAGATAAGATAAGATAAAATAAGATAAGTCTTTATTGTCCAGATGCATACGCACTGTTTCGGTGTTTCATCACAAACACACACACACGCACACACACACACACAC